GGTTTAGAACACTCGGAGCGTTTGTATATTCTGATTAACAAAGTTTTTTTTTGAGTTTGTATTAGTCAATCATCATAATCAGCAGCAATAGCAGTTTGTAGCTGGTTGGTAGTTACCTTTCGTTGCAACTTTTTGCCAACGATCGTACCAACAATAAACAAATAGAGCGCACTGATGATTTTTGAGCGTCCTTTTTGTGGGCTTAGAACTGTTTACTATTCGCTGTTCTATTGATCGTTAACTGATGTTGATCCGTTTGTAGCAATCAATATACTGCGAGATAAGCCGCCTGGAACATTCCTGGTACGTGATAGTAATAGTTTTCCTGGTGCTTTTGGTCTTGCACTTAAAGTTGCAACTCCTCCGCCTGGTGTGCATCCTGGTGAATAAATTTTTTTCTTTTCTTATAATGTCGTTTTCGTTTTTTTTCTTACCACCCTACATAATTGTTCGTGGTTTTTTACCTCTTTCTCTCTTCATTCGTGCAATTTTAATACTGAGTAGTTTTACTGTAAATAACGTTGCCAGTTTCTTTTTTAGTAGTCTTATTGACTGAAGCAAAGGTAAACATTAAATAAATTAAGATTTTCTTCAATTATATAATGTAGTAAAGAAAAAATAGTAAAACTTAATTTTTTTATATTGGGTTTTTTTTCGTTCTAACTTTAGTTTTCTTCTTAGATTATATCCGTACAGAATTCAGAAGTTTAATGTTACAAGGCTTGTCGGTAATAATTAGCTCATTTTTTTTAGGTGACGGCACTGAGTTGGTTAGACATTTTCTCATTGAACCGTCTCCGAAAGGTGTTAAACTGAAGGGATGCAGCAATGAACCAATCTTTGGTACACTTTCGGCATTGGTATATCAACACTCAATAACACCGCTTGCCTTACCGACAAAGTTGCTTTTGCCCGAATATGATCCGGCTACAGTGCCAGAACGTGTAAGTGCTGCACAAGCACTTTTACAACAGGGTGCTGGTAAGTGAACTTACTAATTAATAGTCATTAGCTACATTTTTTGAACCTTTCTTTGGTTTCTTAAGTTTTTTTTCAACTTGAATAGTAACAGCATAATTAGTCTTTCCTTTGTATTCTTTTGGCTTCTTTTTTTTTTGTAAAGTCGAGCGATCTTTGTTTTGCACTAGTGCCAAATTATTCCCGAAGCTTTATACAGCTTATATAATAATGAAAGTTTTTATACAATTTTCTTCTAGTTTCCTTTCGCTTTTTTTTTGTTACTAATTTATCTTCTAGTACCAAAGTTTGGCTTTCTTTGAGTTTCTTAAATTTTTCAAAATACTCTGTTGCTGTTTACGATTATTTCTAATTTTGTAAAATATAAGATAAAGTTCCAGCGTTTGCTAGTTTCCACTCTTAAACTTTTTCTAATATGAGGTTTTCAGTATAGTTAACCGAGTAGTACTGATTGAAATTGATATTTGGGCTGTCTGAGTTTATTATTGGCACCTCCGTCGTCACTAAAAATTGAAGTTTTTCAGCTTGTAATGTAACTTATATTGGGTCGGTTGACTGTGAATCATTGACGGGTCCTGAAGCTGTTAGACGCTGTGTTGGAGAAACCTTCGAGCTTTTCAAGCAACGAAAAGTGAAGCCCGTTCCTGTGCATTTCAAGGTGTTTTTTGAACAGGATTTGATTGTTAATCAATCTTTTGGAAATATTTTTCATTTCCTTAAGATATCTTTTCCTATTAGCGTAACAAATTTTTATTTTTTTGGAATTTTGTTAGCGAAAGGAAAACCACAATTTTGCTACTCCCTCGCTTCGCTCTTCTTCCCTACGTTCTAGTCTAATAAAACATTTTAGGTTTCTGCTAGAGGGGTAACAATTACCGATAATACCAGACAGCTGTTCTTTAGGCGACACTACCCGGTAGAATCTGTTATATATGCAGGCATTGATCCAGAAGACCGGAAGTTTGTATTAAATTCTTCTCTTTTTTTTTTTTTTTTTTGCCTTTTTTTTTGCCTTTTTTGGCTTTCATAAAAAACTTCAATTTTTTGGATGTTAGGAGTGTTGATTAAATAGTAAGTTTTAATTGACTGGCCTCTCATCTCATTTGTAATTGAAGCATTCAAAATACTTAATTGGTAAATGGCTCACAGACTACCCAGCATCGTTTCTGTCAGCCAATTTTTACAACAAAGATTTGTCTACTCTTCTCTTCTTGAGTGTCCCAACTTGACATTTTTCTTATGTTAGAACAGTTCATTTCGATTTTAATGAATTTAGATGGGACAATGAAAATATCACGACTGGCATGACCGATTACGTGAAGATTGCCCGAACGTTCGCATTTGTCGCTCGTAAAGCAGGCACTCACGCTGACAATGCCTGCCATACATTTGCGGAGCTGGAGCAAGAGCAACCAGCCGCAGCTGTGGTCAATTTCATCACTAAGGTGATGATGGGAACAACACGCAAACTGTGATCTCAGGAGTAATTATTGCCTTCATTGCTTCCCCCGCTTTCCTTATCTGTTTTCGTCAAAAGCCGTGGAGGGCTGGAAAAAGCGGTTTCTTCTGGATAGAATACTGTCATTAAGAGTTTCTCTGTCCCACATTCGAGAGATATATAATCTGTTATCTGTAGGATTTCATCACGAAAACATTTTTTGCCATTTGTATGCCTTTAACAAAGGATATTTGAAAGGAAAAAAGATCATCTGTGAAACTGTATTTTCCCTTTGCGCCCTTTCGAACACTAGTCGGGTTTTTTGATTTCTTTTTTCTTTTTTTTTTGAGTTTTTTGTTACAGTGACTTTCTCCTTCATCTTTATCTGCTCAATTATCAATAGTTAGTAACGCTATCGAGCAATCAGAAATTTCTGTTTTCTAATTAACTTGATATAACTAGCGTTCCTCTTCTTTCTTGATGGCTATAAAAAAGAAGTTTTAGTTATAGTTTGAAGGCAGAAAAAGGATAAAATTAAGGAAGAAACGGTAGATTACTGTCGGATTGAAATAATTTTTGTTGTTTTACCTGACACTCTTTATTAAATGGTAATATTGGTGCCGTTACTGCTGTTGTTGCTGTTGCTATGTGGGGAGTTTTGATCAGTTGCGTCAAACAGTGTTTAGAGGAGGTTGCTTGATACCGGTTAAGATCAGAGGGGGGAGTACCTGACAAGTGGGTCTTGATGAGTGTGGTTGACACAGACAGTTCCTGAGGACTTTTCTGGATACATATTTATGTGTGGCTTGTAGATATTATGTGTATTTGTGTAGATACGCGGAACTGTTCTTGCTCGCTAATTGCTCCTCATGTGGTTGGTACTTTCGTCTAGTAGCGAAAACAGTACCTGTAACACTGCTTTCGAAAAATTTTGACTTTCTGTGCCTTATCTCCTTATTTATTTATGGTTATCGTTGTAGATGCCATAGACATTTTTTAATTTATGTAAATATTTTTTTTCAGAAAAGGAAACAATTTTTTCGCAGCTTTACTGGATTTATTTTACTATATTTTCTTTTATGAGAGAATGTTGCATTGGTTTTCTTTTTGCGTTCTGGATAAAATCTATCAATAAAATTTTTTTGATTTACGAAGATAATTTTTTCCAACCTAGTTGCTCACCGTTTATTTACAAGAACTTTTTTTAATAAGTTGCAGAACTTTATAAATTGCCAGATTTGGAGTTTCAGAATACCTTTTAAATTCAGTAATTTTTAAAGTAAACTGTTTATGTAAAAAAAAAATGAAGGAAAGTTTGAAGAACTAAATGACTTTGCTAGGAGGTGGAGGTTGCTTAGTTTCTGTTATTCCTTGCAAATACTTCGGTCCTTCGTGGATCAAGTTTTATCAACAGGGGCGAAGTGTCTTGTGAAATAGAAGTAAATACTGAAAGAAAGAACATTTTATGATTAATTGAAACTCGAAGTAGCTATACGACTTTTATAGCTGGGTGTTACAAAATTCTGGTTGATTCCTCCGCACTTACAGCTTTTTCATCTGATGGTTTTAGATCGCTAAAGAGGTGTCATTGGTTAGGACCAATGGTAAGCATGGTCCAGCAAAAATAACGCTGAATGAATTTTCCTTTTGAATGATTTTTAAAACTGATGATGTCGCTTTCATTTTCATTTCTGATTCAGCCGGTCACCCGTAACGGATGCACAGAGGTTTTAAAGTAAAGCAGTTCTGTACCATTGCTGTGATATAATTTTTGTGCGCGAGATTTGGTAAATAATTTGCGGCAGAAAATGTTCTCGCTTCTCACTGCTGATAGTTTACTTTTTCATACAATTTGTACCTTTCGTACTTTATCCCTCCGATTTGATGTTGGTGAGAATTGTAGCTATACCAACTGGCTGCTAATTTTAAGCTGCAGGTGTGCGACTCCAGTGTAATTAGATAAAGAGAGAAACAGTCGGTGGTTCAAAGATGATCACTAAGGAGTGTGCGTAGATCGGAACATCTGTTGGAACGGAAATTTTATAATTTTGTTGTTGCTGATTATCGCTAGTACAGTTGTCTCTGTTGGTTTTTAGACTTCAAGCAGAACTGATCTTTTAAAAATCTGGTAACTGAGTTGCGCTAAAAAAAATGAGGTTCTGGAAATAATTGTGGGCAAAAATGCACAAAGCAGGCTTATACAGATATAAGTGCGTGAAAGAGGTACTCACTAGTATGAATGAGATATAAAAAATCTTATGTATCTATCTATCTATCTATCTATATATATATATATATATA